AAAAACAGTCTTTCATCTTCTTCCAACTTTACAAGTCAATTTCTCCTTTTCTTTTGATAATAAATACACATTTTAGACAAAGAAAGTGGTTATTGAAATTTCCATGCTCTCACCATCCAGCTAGACATGCCATACTAATTGGATTACAGTCTCTGTGTCCAGGGTAACTGCTGCCTCCTGGTGTCCTGAATAAACCATTAAAGTTTTGTTATTTAATGCCTAACTATGAACCAAGAATACGACTTTTTTTAACTAGGAAGGAACCTGAAATTAATTTATGTCTCTGTTAGACCACTGGTGATTTTTGTGTATTAGAAACTGTGTTGATGTATGATTCAGGATTAATTAAAAGTCATAGTAAATTATCCAGATTTATATCTTTGTATTATACAAAAAATGGATTCTAAATGTTTGAGTTTTTCTTGAATTCAAACATCTCTTTATTTTATTTTGTTCTATTTTATTTTTATTTTTTTTTAGGCAGAGTCTCACTTTGTCACCCATGGTAGAGTGCTGTGGTGTCACAGCTCACAGCAACCTCAAACTCTTGGGCTTAAACAATTCTCTTGCCTCAGCCTCCCGAGAAGCTGGGACTACAGGCACTTGCCACAATGCCTGGCTATTTTTAGAGATGAGGTCTCGCTCTGGCTCAGGCTGGTCTCCAACCTGTGAACTCAGGCAATCCACCTGCCTACTATGTTCTTTTCCACCCTATGTTCCTTTCCTGCCTTCTTTTGGAAGAGGATAGAGTTCTAGCAGTGTAGAAAATGTGTTCATGCTTTTGTTTTGTTTTTTCCTCATAGTAAGTTCTCTGTATTAAAAAAGTATGTTTAAAGGAAGTGAAGAATACATTATGTGTAATTTAATAATAATATAAAATTAACTAGTTCATAGAGAAATGGATTATCTCATCTTATACTTTTTTAAATTTTCATTTCCTGAAAGAGGATACCTGTGCATTTTTCATATTCTCTAAACATTACCTATAAGTAATTTCTATCATCCTCCATAAGCTCATAGTTTATCATTAATTTCTTCCTCTAACCACAGTCTCATGATTGAGACTGTATATTCTATATTTTCAAATTTCATTTAATGATTAAAAAAATCATTGTCCACAAATTTAACTCAACTGTTCCCTAAACATAAAATAAAGTCACTAAGCAAACTGGATTATTTCTGAAAACTATGAGTTAGAGAATTCTGGCTATGAGGCTATACATTCCAACCCTTATTATTACAAACTTGAAATATGATTGACAGACAAGGTTGAAATCCATCCACTTTACCACTACCATTGGTAGAAATGTGATTTACCGAATTATACTTTTAGGAATGGGAGTTTTTCAACCATTTTCTAGAGTAGAATTAGTATTGTGATCTCATTTCTCTTTTCTAAGTATTAAATTATTGGAAGACAGGTTATGAATGGTCAGGACAGCAGCTATGAATTAAGTAATAGTATGGCCAGGGTGCCTAATCACTTAACCAAAAAAGGTTTCTGTACACCCCTGCATATATGTTTTAGTTATTCCCAGAAAAATGAATCTCTGTGAATTGAGAACCTCTATACTAATTATCAAGTACTATGTAAAAAATTCTCATAAATGTAGTGGCTTAAAACAATATACATTTATCATGGTATAGTTACTATGAGTCAGAAATCTGGAGATGGCTTCACTGGGTTCTCTGCTTCAGGGTCTCTCATGAGGCAATAAAATGTTGGTGAAGGTTGACATCTCATTAGAAGGCTTACCTGGGGAATGATCTGGTTCTGAGTGGAGAATCTGGCAGAATTCAGTTACTCAAGGACTGTTGGATCTAGAGTAGTAGAACATGTCTGGCTGGTGTCCATACCTTACATTGTGGATCTCTCCAACAGTGTATTATGCTTCATCAAAGCATACAAACCAAGAAGGCAAGGAGTCCATAGCCAACATCACACTGAATGGGAGAAATTTAAAGCATTTCCCCTAAGAACTGGAACAAGACAAGAATCCCAATTGTTACCACTTCTACTCAAAGTAGTGCTGAAAATTCTAGCTAAAGCAATCAGTCAAGAAAAAAAATAAGGGTATACTAATTGGAAGAGAGAAAGTCAAACAATCACTTTTTGCTGAGGGTATGATTTTATATCTATAAAACCTACTAGAATTGATAAGTAAATTCAACAAAGTCTCAGGTTACAAAGTCAATGTACATAACTCAGTAGTATTCCTATACACCAATATCAGTGAAAGTGAAAGTCAAATTAAAGACTCTGTACCATTCACAATAATTCCAGAGAAAATAAAATACCTAAGAATATACCTGACCAAGGAGGTGAGAAATCTCCACAAGCAGAACTAGAAAACACTGAAGAAAGAAATCACAGATGACACAAATAATTGGGAAAGTGTATCATGCTGATTTATAGACTCAATGCAATCACCTCCAAAATGCCAACATCAGATGTCTGGAGAACATTTAGAGAACTAAAAATAGACCTGCCATTTGATCATGCAATTCCTTTATTAGGTATATGCCCAGATGACCAAAAATCACATTACAACAAAGATATTTGTATCAGAATGTTATTGCAGCCCAATTCATAATCGCCAGGTCATAGAAGAAGCCCAAGTGCCTATCAACCCATGAATGGATCAATAAATTGTGGTATATGTACACCATGGAATATTATGCAGCCCCAAAGAAAGATGGAGACTTTACCTCCTTCATGTTTACATGGGTGGAGCTGGAAAATGTTCTTAGCAAAGTATCTCAAGAATGGAAGAAAAAGTATCTAATGTACATAGCCCTATTTTGAAACTAATTTATAGCTTTCATAGGAAAGCTATAACCTAATTATAGCCTTAGAATATGGGGAGGGTGGAGGGAGAGGGGAGAAGAGCGGGGTGGATAGGTGCAGAGAGGGTGATTGGTGGGGTCACCTCTATGGTTTATCTTACAAGGGTACAAGTGAATCTTTCTAAAAGCAGAGTATGACTGTCTTAACTCAATAACCAAGAAAATGACATGGAGGCTATGTTAACCAGTTTGATGAGAGTATTTCAAATTGTATATGAAAATATCATACTGTACCCCCGATTACATTAATGTACACAGCTATAATTTAGTAATAATAAAGAAATAAAATGCCAATATCAAATTTCCCAGATCTAGAAAAAATGAGCCTATGGTTCATAGAAAAGAGATGCCTGAATAGCAAAACTAATCTTAAACAAAAAGAACAAATCTGGATGCATCACATTACCAGACTTCAAGCTATACTACCAGGCTATAGTAACCGGAACAACATGGTATTGGCACAAAAAATGATTCATGGACTGATGGCTCAGAGCAGAGAACCCAGATATAAATCCATGCACAGCCAACTGATCTTTGACAAAGCAGATAACAATATGCCCTGGGCAAAAGAAATCCTATTAATGGTGCTAGGAGAATTGGATTCCCACATGCAGAAGAAAGAAACAGGATCCATATCTCTCACCATTCACAAAAATTAATTCAAGATAGATAAAAAACTATAACACATGAAACCATAAGAATTCTAGAAGAAAATGTTGGAAAAACTCTTCTGGATATCAGTCTAGGCAAAGAATTTATGAAGAAGACCCCAATAGCAATTCTAGCAACAACAAAAATAAGTAAATGGGACTTGATTCAATTAATTGCTTCTGCACAGCAAAGGAAATACCAATAATCAATAGGAAAAAATGGAAAATGTGTAGAATCAGAGAAAATATTTGCAAGTTATGTATCTGATTAAAGGGCTAATAACCTGAATCTACAAAGAACTCAAGAAAATCAGTAAGAAAAAGAAACAATCCCATCAAAAAGTGGGCAAAAGCCATGGACAGAATATTTTCAAAAGAAGATAGACATATGGCCCATAAACACAGGAAATAATGTTCATTACTAATCATCAGGGAAATGCAAATTAAAACCCGAATGAGATATCACCTTACCCTAGTTAGAATGGTTTTCACTAAAAACTTCATAAACAATAGTTGTTGCTATGAATGCAGAGAGGAAAAAATGCTTATACCCTGTTGGTGGGAATGCAAATTAGTGCAACCTCTATGAAAAACAGTATAGATATTCCTCAAAGAACTAAAAGTAGACCTACAGTTTGATCCAGCAGTTCTACTACTGGGTATCTACTCAGAGGAAAAGTAGTCATTTTATCAAAAAGACACCTGCAGTCCAATGTTTACTGCAGCACAATTCACAATTGCAAAGATATGGAATGAACCCCCGTGCCCATCAATTCATGAGTGGATTAACAAAATGTGGTATGTGTATACCATGTAATACTACTTAGTCATAAATGAGGATGAATTAATGCCTTCTGTAGAAATTTGAATGGAGACCATTATTCTGAATAAACTATCTAAAGAACAAAAAAACACACACTGTACGTACTGGCTAATAAACCAAAATTAACTGATGAGCACAGAAGGGCATAAAACTCAGTGGCAACCAAGTAGGGAGAGGATGATGGGGAGATGAGCATAAACTTACCTAACCAGCACAGTGAACTGTCTTAGTGATGGGCACACTTATAATCCTGACGCAAGCATTACAAAAGCCGTCCTTATGTAACCAAAATAGTTGTACCCCTGTAATGTTTTGAAATTAAAAAAAAAATGATAAAGGCCTTTGTTAAATGCTTGTGGATCAAAAAAATAAAAGGACAAAAAGATAAGTTTCCTACCATTGCCCCTATAAAATTTGTAGTCTAGCACTTGCTATTTCAATAGAATCTTAATATAGGAACAGTAGATCAGACCACAATTTCTCTGTTTAACACCTTTCAATTATTGCATGCTGCTCTAAAATTAAAATATCTTATCACAGCCCAGCAGGGCCTGTGTGACCAAGTCCTCTCCCACTTTGACTTTGACCTTCTCATCTGTGTGTCTCCCAATTTCCCACTATGCTTTGCTCAGCTTCCGTAATCTCCTACCTAAGACACATGCATGTTCGAAAAATGTTTCAACTTTACACAGTAGCAGTCTTGTAGCCTATGAGGTTTATCCAAGATGTGATTATTGCTAATTGAAAACTTTTTAAAGCCCCTCCAGGATGAATTTGCAATATAGTCAGCCTTGGTTGTTTCTGACAATCTCTGCAGAAACTGAATTTAAAAGAAAAAAGCTTACAAAATGATGTCATTGAATTCTTACAATTCAAACCTCAATCACCCAAAGAATGTCTAGCTTTAAACAACATAATTTCATATTCTAACCTCTTAGATAAACTACATGTCTAAATGTACTCTTTGGTAATGAACTGCTCTGAATTGTTTTTACAGGATGGTTAGTTATACATTGGTTGAAAACAGCCTTCCAGAGACAAATGTTTTTATTTAAAGGAGTAAGCTCAAGTAGACCTCAGGTCTTTGGAATACTTTGGAAGAACTGTAAGGATACTTCCAGGCTGTATACACCAGTTTTATTCATTAAGTATGAAATGTCCAATTTCCTTGATGACAAAGTTAGACAGTTGTGTCTGATATTTCACGTGGACACTTCTTGTTTTAATTTTATTGTGAACATGCATCCTCATTCTTTTGATGCAAATTTCAGCTTGGGATTATTTTTCAAATTTTATTTTAGAACAGTTTTGGTGAAATTGTTATTTGTGTTATTTTCTAACATGGGTTCCCTTGTGGGAGCAGTTTCAGCACAGACACCTCAACATATCAACAGTGTTGGGGAGGACGTGGTTAGTGAACACACAGGATTATCGATGGCTTAAGAAGTTCCATTCTGGTGATTTTAATCTTGCAAATGAGCCACGATGAGCTGAAAGCTGTGGTGAGAGCAAATCCATCTTGATCTACACAAGTATTAGCAGCAAGGTTTGATGTCACTATTCCAAAATTACTGGACCATTTGAAACAAACTAGCAAGGTAAAGAAGCTGGATAGACGGGCTCCACTTGAATTAAATATCAGAAGAAGATCATCTCAAAGCTTGAGATGTTGGTTCTGTCACGTCACAAAGGCAAACCGCTTCTTCCCTATATTATTAGGTGTGGTGAAATATGGATTCCTTTTGACAGTTATAAGTGTTTGGCACAACGGTTGGATAAAGTAACACAATTCAAACCCAAAGTGAATATTTATCAAAAAAACAAATGGTGTCTGTTTGGTGGCCCAGCACTAATACTATCTCCACGATCGCTTCATGAAACCTGGTCAATCAATTACGGTGGATGTCTACAGCAACCAAGTGGATGACATGGCAAAGACACCTACAAATACTCAGCTGAGATTGGTCAGTAGAAACAGAACAGTCCTCTTTCCGGACAACACTGTTGGACAAATAGCACTACTCAAACTACCGTAGCTGGACTTGGAAACAATCTGTCATCTGCCAGATTCACCAGCCCTTGCACCAAGTGACTGCCACACTTCTTCCAGGGTTTGGACAACTTCTCACAAGGAAAAAGAATTCAATTCTCAACAAGCTGTGGAAAACACCTTTTGCGATGTCATCGCCACTCACTGTCTGTGCTTCTTTGCTGCTGGCATAAACAAGTACTGTTAAGATGGCAAAACTATTGGTAGTTTAGGAGCACACCGGGTTAATTGTACTGCTTCTTGCTGGTGGTGTAATAAACTAAACTTCTGCTTTAAGTCAGACATTGCATAATAAATGACCTAATATTTATTTTTTAGGGCTTTTTGTTTTTCCTCCATCACATAATGTCTTCTTCCTGAGGAACTCGGAAGAAATTCTCTGAGTTCTTAGAAAACCTTCGATTTGATAATTATTTTTAGTTCGTCGCATGGATAGTTAATTCTATAACTTATCAGAATCCTGTATTTCTTTGTCAAAAGACACTTGTGGAGTCATAGCCACAGCTTAAACCTATACTCTGACTCCAGAACTCCTGGTGTTTTCCACATATGGAGTTTACATATGTTTACCTAAGTCCTTGTCTCTCCCTTTAGAATTTACCTAAATTAATGAGAAATTCCTCCCTTACACAAGTTCCTCTTCTTTTTCAGTTTAGAGTCAATCAAACTATGACTTGACCTATGTAAGGTTCTGAAAGATTTGGGATGACATATATATTTAAGTAGAATGCATAAACTTTGAAGAAAAACAAACACAATCCTCAGGCTTTATCATAGAGGATCAGGAGTAGTCAAAGCATGTGTCCCTACACACACACGTGGCCCTGCTTCCTTTCCATATGAGTGGCATGTTATGTGGAAATATTTTAATAGATGTCTCCTGGTCCAGAAGAAGAAAAAAGAGCAGGAAAAGGAAAGGAGAATGACTTCATAATTAGCCTGAGGATAAATGCTTTCATAGTGTGAATTACACACGGCGCGTTGTTTTCAATCAAGTGAAACCTGACATAGAAATGGATGTAGCTACACGTTTTAGGTCTCTAAGGGACTTTAACTTTTACTTGTGTTATTTAAAGATCATCACTCTCTCGTGAGCCAAACTAAGGCCAAAAGAACAAGGCTCCCCTGGCTCTCCTGAAAGCGTTGAGATTTATTTCTCTGGGGTGGCCTGAGTCCGTATTCATTCATTCTTACAAATCATCCTGTTTCCATTTAGAGATTAATACATTACAGTATAACACTCAAAGAAAACCGGAGGAATTAGTAATGATATATTTTGAGAACCATCTTACCATAAAATAAATTAAAAACATAGGGCTTGCCGTATATTTAGATACATAAAAAATTATATGAGATTACCTAAAGGAATAATTCTGAAACCTAGGCCAGAACATTGCAGAATTAACAGATGTCCCCCCACAGATTTACAAGAAACCACCAAAGGAGTGCAATTGAGGATTAACAATCTGTGTTACACAGATTTCTATTTTTATTGTTAAGATTTACTTATAACCGACTCATTTAAGTATGATTTGTTCACTTACCTATCCTGTTGATTCCAAAAATACTTACTGTGCCAAATACTTGCTAGGTGCTTAGGATAGGAAAACATATGGGCTGAGGCATCCCGCTGCACGGAGTTTATGGACCGGTGAGGCTGAAAGTCTCTGAGGAAGCGTGTTCCCTCTTTTCACCTCTCCTTTCTCCCATAGTGGGAGTAGGGGAGAATGGTGATGAAACAAGATCTAATGCTATTTTTCAATTCAAATATCTGTATATCTAGAGTCTGATCATATACGGTCATATAATTTTCTCAAAATCATCCAATTCTGTATTATTATATATGGGCCAGATACCTTACCTTTGGCCTTCCAACTCTAGTCCTGGCATTGAATGGTTTCCTTGATTTCTGGCTTCCTCAAGCTGGAAGGCAGATCAGATGGAGGAGAGAGAGTCAGGTCAGGTCTTCCCCGGGGGATTACCCTGGGATAATGGTGTCTTTCTACTGAAGGTCACTGCTTTTCTCCAGGCAGATGCTGGACGTGACCGTCTGACTCCAGCTTCCATTAACTGCTCTCATCCCGTCCTTGAACATGGGTATCATAAAGCTTAGAAGTTACTAACTCCAAGTGCTACCATATTCCTGTGGTTCCCTTAGTCTCTGCCTATGCTTTTGAAAATCCTTCCTTTGTAAATAAATGCTCCTAGACTGGTTCTGCTTTGACTTTTAGGACCTTCATTCCTGCAGTGTTTATCCAGTTATCTCAGTGTGTCTTACTCACTTATTTGCTTTTGTTTTGTCCTAAAAAGACCTAAGAGAATTTGTGTAGTATACCTTGCTTTTAAATACAAAATTTTAATTTTCAAACTAATCTAACTAAAGATTTACAAATCTGTCCCATGAAAATTATATTCTTTTCATCATCCAGTAAGTATTTTCTCATGTATTTTTATATACTTTATAGTGATAATCAGTGGAAATGACAAAAAATACAGATCAAAATGAAATGGAGAAAATCAGACTCTAACCAGAAATAGTTTCCTCTTTGGCCTTTTTGGAATTTCTTGTTCTTGATTTGTTTTCTTTTCCATTCTTCAAAACAGAAATGAAATAATGCCTCTTTCATTTCTTACTTTAACGTATTATGGTCTTCTCTGACTTTTAATGGAGCATGTGTAGTCTCATAGGGTGACAAATTTGGCAAGATTTCTTGAGAGAAACAGAAGTAACACTGATTGACCAACAGGTGTTTAATTATTCTCCCAGGCTGTATCAAATGACTGAGTTAAAAGTTCAAATGAAGTTTAGCAAACTTGCTTCAGCCCAAAGAGGCTTTTTTGTTAAGACGGCTCAACTAACATTTTTGAAAATGAAGTATAAGTCATGGCAGATCAGCTAATCTTTAAACAATAAGTGTTACAAATGTTTAATACATTCATTATATTTATTCTGTGGAATGTTTTGATATGTTTACAAACAGATTAGGTTTTATAATCAGCAGCATTAGAGTACATTCTGGTTTTCTTAAAATATGACCTTTCAATTCTATGAACATTTATACACTGCTCTGAAATTTCCCCTGGCCCCAAAGCTATAAAACATTAAAGCTATTTAATCAGGGGATATTAATCTAGAATGTATGGCCTCTGGTTTTGGGCAGATTACAGAGGCTCCACAAAACCCAGGATATGATATGAAAAATATTTATATTTATTACATCTTTTCATTTTTCTGCAAAGGGGGGGTATAAACCTTTATAAGAATTCAAAAGAGGATAAGCACTACTAGTTTAATTTGTATTGTTCTCAATATCAGGACTTTACATGTGGGCCCCTCCTGACAAGCCCCCGCCCCAACCCAGATAAGGACAAACATGTGACTAGTTTGGTCAATAAAATGTGGGTGAACATGGTTTGTCCCTTGTCTGAACAGAAGCTCGGCACTTACTGACTTATCTCTGCCATCAGACTAGATCTGTCCCAACAGAGGTTGTTCCATCGTCGTGGGTCTTATGATGGAGCAATAAATAAACTCTCGAGTGATTGGTTTGTCTGTGCAGCAAAAATTACCCTAAACTTACTGACGAGCTTACCATCTTAGGTCAATTTCCCCATAGTTACTGAAACAGACTAAGCCAATTTTCCCGTGCCTGGGTTAAACAGTAAATCAGTTAAATTTTTACTTATATTTTCTGTGCTATTCCACAACAACTAGTATGTTATCATCTATAATTTCCTCAACTACCCTCTTTTGAAAACTATTCACGAAT